GGATCTGGAAACTTGATCCCCTAGAATATGGTGGGGAACGATTTACGGATTCTACAGGGCTCACTAAGCTGGCTCATGCAGGGCCAAGTCACTAGTTCAGCTGTTGATGCAGGAAATCTCGCGCCAACATCCCGAAAGCACTGTAATTCCAAGGGATTTAAGGACCTACGTGGATACTCAACATCCTGCATGAACCTTAGGACCCTAAGACATGGGCTTTATGGTACTGTAATATACCAAGATCATACATGATTCTCAGTAACTCAACAGTATCTGCCCCTAAATAAACCCAGCTTTCATTTCATTTTCCAATACCTTTCCCATTTGATGTTCCTCTATCGGGAAATTATCCTCCCTAAACCCTAAACCCTACACCCGAATCCCTGAACCCCAGGGTAGCGCAAGGTTTCCGACCTTAGCCCTAAACCCTAAACCCTAAACGGCAACTCTGCACAGTTGAGCTTTCCAATTGCTGGCACGCGCTGCTCAAGGAATCTCATGCACTGAGTGAGAAAACTTGGGTTCAGGGTTTAGTGATTAGGGTTTGGGGATTAAGGTTTAGGCTTAGGGTTTGGGGTTTAAGGACTGGGGATTTGGGTAGGGTTTAAGTAAAGGGTTTGGGATATTACCACTCAAGGTTCAGGGTCTTCAGGGCTTAGGCGACAAAATGGGGGGGGGGGGGACAGGGCTTCTTGTGTCATCTTGGGAAGGATTCTAAGGACCCATGAGGTATGTGGCGACTGTACTAGGTTTAGGGTTTAAGGGCTCAAAGTTTGTGGTTTGGCTCTCCAACACTCAGGAGCCTTGATTAGGGGCTCATCCTGTCTTGTTTCCGAAGTCCTGACTGAGACTGAGATGATAGTCCTCATCCTGCCTCATTTAGGGTTTGCTTGCTGGTGGTTAGTAGGGAAGGAGGGAACGAAAAAGACAGTGGAAACCGCGTAGGGTTTAGGGCAGCGCAAGCCCTAAACCTAGACCTCTGAACCCTAAGCTCTAGACTCTAAACCATGCACAATCCCCAACAGCCAGTCCCCGCATTGAATTCCGCCAGGCCCACCCCCAAAGAACATGATCCTCATTTAGAGGCTAAGGGAACTAACATCTGCTCATTAGTTCATGCATACCTAAACCCAAAACCCAAAACCCCAATCCCACATCCCTAAACCCTGAATATTCGGTCATCTTGCCTCATGCAGAAATTGTTTTGCTGGAACACATTGGGGAAGCGCCGGTTGTTCTGAACAGGGTCCGGGTGCAGGAGTTAAAGATTTCGGGTTAGGGTTTAGGATTTAAAGCTTAGTAGGGTTAAAGTTAAGGGTTTAGGATGACTAGGGTTTAGGGTTTAAGATTTAGGCACGCGCATTTGTAGGGTGTAAAGCTTACCCAGTAACTAGGTTGTAAGGGAGGTGATCAGCCGGCCCACCCCAAGTAGTTGACCTACAACCCCAACACTTATAAGCCGATTGCTAAATCCATTGGGGTTTCCAGGGCTTCGGGCTCAAGGAGGCCCATTTCTAAGTCCATTCAGCTGTCAAGTTTAGAGGGAATTTCTGAAGCATTAGTGTTCTCCATGTTGCCGTTGTATCTTCTAGGGATACGGCATAGCCTGGTTTTTTACTAACAAACTTGATCAGGGCTAGGTTTGCATGTTACGACACACACTCCTGTTATCCATGCTCGCAAGTATAGGAGGATAGGATGCTAACTTGGCTTTTGCGAAATCTCAAAGATGGAGAGGGGTAGTGGTTGAGCATAAGTGCTACGGTACGAGTATCCATGGGAATTATAGAGGGATGTAATCCCCCTTACGTAGATAGAATATGGCTTTAGGTATATTAGAATAAGATCCCCGTATACCCCATATTCTATCTACTTAAGGGGGACTATAGGTATACTACAATTCTAATCCTCCTCTCCACCCACCACTCCACCTTTGACCTAGTGCGTTTCCTTGCATTGAGGAGAAGAACATGGGGGCTTCAAACAAAATAGGATTCCCCATAACAAACTCATAGTATGTGGGGTCTATACTGGGGTCTCCCTTAGCATTATTATGGAAACTATCACATTTTCTCTAGGGGCTGCAGCACTTGGTGGAAACAAGGGAACTACAAAGATGGCGGCTGCCTTAGCGCTATCTTCTCAAACACTCGCATCATGGGAGTTTCTTGTGGGGTTACAATGAAACTCAAACGGGACAGTGGATGGAGAACGCAGGGAAACCGTACTGCTAAGAAATCTATGGGTATTTGTGACCTACCTTATAACGGTCCTTATAACCGAATTATGCGCCCTCTAAGTCCGCAAATATGGTTGTCATCAGTATATAAGCACAAACCTCATTGGTCATAGTTAACCATGGACTTCCAAGCAGTGCCCCTTGCATCATAATTTACTGCCGTTTTAGCATCCCGGTCCATGTGGATCTCCGGCAGGACCGCCCTGTTCGCTGGGGTCCTTGCATCCAGCAAGCCCTAGATGTAAGCCCTCTTCTCATGTCTTTTAGTTGCTTTCTTGCTGCGCTCTTGCTGCTGCAGTGGCAAACTTTGCTTTGGTTTTTACGGTCGCGCAAACTCATACGGGGTGGTTGTCAAAATTGTGGATCCTTGTGGGTCATTCGTATCGTGTAGAGATTCGCTGTAGGGGTTCGGAATCTTTCTTCAGAAAGGTCGGAAATTTCAGCTCAATGGATCTCTTGCCATCAGCTGTTTCCTACTTACAGTCTAGCAAGCCTTTGTGACAGACTCCCAGCATCCCCCTTAAAAGCCGCTATAATAGTCCCCTATATAACCCCCTTTAAGGAGTTTAGACATAGCTCATATTTGGCAAGAAGCACTGAAGGGATAGGAGTGCAGCGATGTGATGCAGAGCAACGGGCACAAGAAGTCACCAAAGCTGTGGGGTTTAGGGTTTAGGGCTTATGGTTTGGGCTCTGGGCTTAGGGTCGAGCAGTGAGTAGTGGTGGCGGCTGCAGCGGTGAGTAGTGGCTATTATTACTATTGGTACTATTACTCTTAGTACTAGTATAAGCATTTTTCAGAGCATCAGAAGTTGTCAAGAATAACGTAGAAAAGCAAACTGTAGCAGCAGTCGCCCTACAAGCGTAGCAGTCGTCCTAGCCGCAGTCGTCTCAGCAGTTGTGGTAGTAGCAGCAGTGGTAGGAGGAGGCACCGGAAAGGCAAAGAAACAGCAGCTCTTGCACTGCGACAAAGCAGCAGTGCAAGATCTCCTCCACCAACCCTGCAGGGCTATATGAGGATACTGGAAAAGATAATAGAAACTACTGTTTAGGATTTGGGTTTGGGGTACAGTCCCCCTTTAGGTAAATGGAATATGGGGTATGTGGGGATCTTATTCTAATATACCAAAAGCCATACTCTATCTATTAAACCTAAAACTATCCCGCTCCAAACCCTGAACCCATACCTGACTCTTTACGCCAACTACGACTTCGCCCACTTGCCACAGCAAGGGCTAATGGGCGGGCCTGAGTGGTTACCAATATCCTTCTGAATTCTATTTCAGATATACTGTCGAAATTTGTTTAAGAAAGAACCTGGGAAATTCATAGCGGAAATTATCCAAGCCCTGAAACCTAATCCCTAAACCCTAAATCTGAATCTCTAAGCCCCTGCATTTAATTCCGCTGAGAGTCATGGATTTCAGGTCGGGGATGTCGCATTGGGCTTTGTTGTAGAAGTACTCGCACTCCAAGCCATCCGACATCTGCGACATGAAGCTACTAGGGACCCTCCTTACAAATGGTCCCACAAACTAACTAAAGCCTTTTTGGAAGCCTTTTTGGATTCTTGAGAAATCCTCAAATTTTGTTGGTAGAGGGCGTGGCAGTTTTGGGCTCCATGATGATCCTATGACCGCGGCACAGCTTTAAGACATAGCAATGCCGTGATTCCTTCACTGAGAACGGAAGTGGTTCCATCAAGCCAAACTACAAGCGCGTGCTATACTTAAGAAAACATGAATCCCCTCATACGAATATCTAAACATCCCCCCCCAGCCCTAGCATTAAATACGTTCACCAATAAAGTCTCTGATGGGAACATTGAATAGTTGGGCTTTTAGGGGTGTGGGATGCTTAATATCCGTCTAGGGGAGTATTTGGAATAACATATGCAACCACTCAGGCGTCTGCTGCACACTTTCTATGAAACACCAGGCAACCCGTGTCCATTTCATGCTCCAGTTCCTCTTGAATATGATTCTCCAAAACAGTAATTATATAATATATTAAAAAACCGTATATCAGCTCCTATAGCATGAGCACCCCTTTCATTTCATCTTCCACTTTATCTTCCTTCTAATTCTCCGCCATGCTGAAATGTCCCTGTATAGCCCTACATACCTATCCCTTTATGGCCGTCCTGATAGCCTAAACCCTAAAACCCGAAATCCTAAAACCCTCTTGGCACCTTGAACTCGTGTTTGAGGGCAGACGCCGGCACCGTGACCTTCTTGTCATCTGTGTCTGGCCCTTCATAGCGCATCTTGAAGGCCTGAGAACAAGCAAGAAGCGATAATAGGATTTAGGGTTTAGGTTTGAGCGTTCAGGGCTTATAGATTTTACTGACATAATCCGCACAAAGCCCTTCTGGTAAACCCGATCAACTGATAATGATCTATCTATCATTCCTAGGGTTCCTGTGGGCCCCCTTCTTTTCTGTGATTTAGGGTTTAGGGTTTAGGGCCCGCCTGCCCCCCTTTGACTTCGCACATGTCCACGGTCAGGTAGTGGGCACCCGCCGAAAGGAACTTTTTACTGCTGCTCCTCATGGGCAGTTTCCTAAGTAAACCTTGAGAGGGAACCTAAACCCTGAATCCCAAAACCTAAGCCCTAAACTTGAGGCCTAAAACCCTAAACCCTGAACCCTAAATCCTGAATCCTAAACCCCTAAACTCTAAACCCCTGAACCCTAAATCCTGAGCCCTAAACCCTTATCCCTTCAAGGGATAGTATGGCGGCGTAGTAACCCATGACACTCCTCTCCCTCTCACCATGGCAACCGTCGTTGTCGATAATCTTCTCCCTGTTTAAGTGGAGAAGCGAACCTCTGGGCTCAGGGGCAAAAAGTAGGGATACCCTTTAAAGGGGTTTATAGGGGTTATTTGAGGGTATACAGGAGTCATTGAGGGCTTAGGGTGTAGGGCTTCAGGGCTTAGGGTCTAGGGTTATTTAGAATAATGTCAATTCCCAGTTTAAGGCCATGTTGGTACTATTCCCTATAGGGTGAGGTAGGGTGAGGTCGCTTTAAATTGCCCAGGGTTTAGGGTTTAGGGCGCAGGGGTTACGGCTCAAGGTTTAGGGTCTGCTGTTGGGGCATCGGGTTTAGGGCTTATAGGCCAGGGTTACAAAAGAGATGTGCCAAGATTGTGAGAAGCACAGATGGCATGCCATGGATGTTGGCAGCCTGGGCCTCCAAAATACGGACCCTGTGACTATCATGTGACACTTGCAAGGTCTATATAGTCCCCCATGAACCTTCTACAGCCCATTGTAAAATACCCCAGGTCCCCTTTAGGGTTACCAAAAAGCCTCTTATATCATAAAACCCTAAACCCTAAAATCCTAAGCGTAAACCCTAAAACCCTGAACCCAGTCTCATTGTTCACTCCAATTTCGCCGAGGTACCGTCGTCTGAGCTAAGGAAGAACTTGTAGTCGCCAGGGGTTCGGGTGATCAGGTGACCAGTGCACCTGTTTCTGATTAGGGTTTGTAGAATAGCATGTCTACACAGTGTTCAGTCGATATAGGGATACATGGGGCTGCTACAAAAGCGCACGTAGGGCTATATGGATACATAACAGGAAGATATGAGCACATATAGGGGAATGTAGGGATACAAAGCGCATAGGCATACATGGGGGGGGGGTGTACGGATACATAACGCTATTTGAGCATACCCCGGGATATATCGGTACCTAGGGCTATATAGGCATAGCTGGGGGCATGTAGGGAGACGTAATACAGGGCGACGTAGGGATATCTAGGGTTGAGGATTTACGGATGATTACAAGGTTATTGGTGACCCTTATAGCAAGGACCCTATGACTGCCAATGCCGCTTGAAGGGTGCTTACGAAAGGGTTGGGGTTGGCCAAATCCTTACCATCTATACCCCATGAAAACCGCTACATTATGCCCCATCAACATCTCACATTTCCCCGTTGTCATGCGCCCAGGCCACTTAGCAAACGGATGGTACTGGGCTTCTGAGCAGGCTACCCACAATTAAGGAATAGTATATATATGTATATATATTCCTCTAAATATATGTATATATTCATATATATACACACATATATATATACACATACATATATATACACATATAGATACAGAATTTGTGTATATGCACACGTATACATATATACATATATATATATATACAAATATAAGCCCACTTATAACCTACTTATCAAGTCCCCTGGGCCATAAAGTAAATCATGGCCAGAACTCAACACTGGGCTGCTGCTAGGGAGTTTGATTTAAGTTCCTAACAATAACTATCAATAACTAACTTATCTTACCACTACTATTTGTCTGTATATATATGTATATGTACCCACATCATGGGAACTGAAATTCAAGTTCCTTAGCAGCAAACCCGGCAAAATGCCTTGCCTCATGCAGAAGTTCCAGGATTGCTTGACTTGAGGGAACTTCGAGCCGAAGAAGATCTCTGGCACCACCAGGGTCTGGGAAGGGCTCCTGGGCTTTGGGTTTAGGATTCATGCCTACCACTATGGGCTATTAGACCTTAAGGGTAGCTTAATCTACCCTTAATAGGGTCCTAGTAGGGAATCTTAGGGTCTAATAGCCCATAGTGGTAGGGTCCACTCATATATTGGGTTTAGGGATTGAGGCTTTGGGTTTAGGGCTGTGACTGTGAATTTGTAGGGTTTGGGGTTCAGGGTTAGGGCTCTGGGTTTAAGGCTCGTGGGTTCAGGGTTTAGGGTTATATAAGGTTTAATGTAGGGTTTAGGGATTAGGTTTAAATTTAGGGTGTACGGTTTTTGGGTTTGGGGATGTGACTCCAAAAATGGAGGATCAAGTGGAAAAGAAATTTGAAAACTAAATGGAAACTGTGATTGTGTAAGGGTCTATACTGCTTAGACTAAAGCAACCTGCATGATCTTAGTACACTATGGCACAAGAATGCCGAATCTATAAGGTACTGAAGGTCATGCAGCTTTTTTAATCATCAACTGCATGATTGAGAGAGGCCAGACGCTGTTCGACAACAGCATACATAAAAGCCTCAAGTTTGCACCCTTGAGCTTTGTAACCTAAACCCTAAACCACTTGAGTTTCGGGCCCCAGATACGCTAACCAAGGGGCTATATTCCATGATGCAGAAATCCAACCCCAAGGGTACAAACCCTAAGGTTTCTGGGTGGTACTCCACAGGCCGCCCAAGATGATGTATGAATAGGTTCCCTTAAACAACTATAGGGGTAATTTTGAATAAGCCCTAAACCTTAAACCCTAAAACCAAGTGCCACCTCGGCTCCTCCTTAACTAAACAGGCCGAATCAGCCTGGCGAACCCGAAGCCTAAACACGGCTTGGGTTTAGGGCTTTAGGGTCTAGGGCTTTAGGATTTTAGGTTTGAAGGTTTAGGGCTTTAGGGTTTAGAGTTTTTGGTTCTAGGGCTAGGATGTGGGGTTTGAGAGTTGAGGGTTTAGCATGGTGGGAAGTTACGTGGTGGATACACTTACCTAAGACTTCATTGGGGCCCGCTTTAGCTAAAGCGGGCGCCACGTTATGTGGAGAGGTTAGACAGTATGTAATGGCTACGTAAGGCCCTAAGCCCTGAACCTTTATGGGAAAACAACCACCTAGCGGGCCCCAATAAGTCTCGTAGGCCCTAAACCCTTGAATCCCCATGTATCCCTATATGAGCCATTGCCTAAACTCCTAGTATCCCCTTGATAACCCCTATATTATTACTACCCTACGTACTCCCGTTATATAAACCCCTTTAAGGAGTTTAGATTATAGCTGTATACCTCTATAAAGATCCCTTTTGAGGGACCTGGGCCCTTAAACCCCACACCCTGGGGCAACAATAATTCTCCGCAACGCGTCATGCTTCCCAGATCTGGAACATCGCACTTGGCTTTGTTGTAGAAGTATTCGCACGCCAGGCCGTCCGCCAGGGGCTGGCAAGGATTAGGGTCTAGTGTTTAGGGTTTAGGGTAAGGTGCTATGATTCCTGGCTTTAGATGGCTGTGAGATTAGTCGGGACTCCGATGCGAATACACATTGAATCATGAAATGGAAGCTGGGGCTGAAAAGAATAAAGTCTGCGACGGGCCTTCTTTAAAGAAAGCTATAATGTGCTAAAATCTCATAAGCGCTGTAAAGGAATATCGACGGTAATCCATCAGGCGCCTACACGACGCAGGTTGTGAAGATCGGTCCGTAGGACTCCAGGACTAAGTCTGCTAGCTTTTGATGGTTTAGGGTTTAGGGTTTAGGATTCTCTTACTATGTCTTAGTAGGGGATATCGGAATATACGCTCTCCAACTCAAATTTCCCTCATTCCCTACTAAGAACCAGCAACTTATGGGTTTTGGGGGTTCTTTCTTGGGTCTTACTGGGTCTTAAGAATTGTCAACAACGACCTTCTACAAGGACCCAGAAATTGTAAGCTCCCCGAAACCCTGAACCCTAA